AGAATCTACCTGTATCTTTGAAGTCCCACCCGTGGCTCAGTTTACGAAAAAGGTAAAGACGGTGGAGTTATTCGTGTACTTTATTGGTGACTAAGGTATGAGGACATATCCATGTGCTTTAACTAATCAGATATGACAAAATGGAACTGTAGTTCTTTACATTCTTACAATTGGTACTACATGGGGGTGAGTGATAAGATTCAAGCCCTCAAACTCAACCAAGACAATTGTTGGAAACAAAACACACTTATGTACCTCACAAATTCCTAGCATGTATCATCTGAAGTTTCCTGGACAAGGTTAGTATATTATCCTTTTGATAACAAATAGTGAGTAGATTAGCAGCAAATATATACGTGGAAAGAACAATAAATATTCCTGCACTATGTAGGAATATCTTTGACAAAAATAGTTTTCTGCATCTGAATGCACATACGCCAGTCACTGAGATCTGCTCGTGACATTTCCAAGTACAGCATTCCGAAGGTGGACTATTTATAACAAAGCCATTACAACTTACACTCTTGTTTCACCTGCAAGAAACTGAAGGTTAGAATGATTATTTATATGCAACTGAAAATAACAATGACAGATGCTAAATCCATCTTAACATTCCCCATACCAATGAAACAGTTATAAAATGTTTTGGAAGTAACAAACTGAATAAAATTGTTAAACCAAAAAGACCTCACAGTCACTGCTTTACTTGTTTGAAGAATGAATGTTATACAGATAACGCAACAGGAGATGCGAGAATATTTTATTGCATTTAGGCGCAGAGAAACTTCACGTCATACGTCATGAGGTGCTCATCATTGTATTACACAAGAGTGTGACTGCCCCTTGCCTCAAATGCACAATTACTATTCCTATCCTGGATACTATTCCTGTACAAAACAAATGTGTATGAGTAAGTATTCATTTGCATTCTGATAGCAGAAAACGTCTTATTCATGATGGGACAATAGTTACTTTAATCTGGGTATGCAATGATACTTCTGCAGACTCTTCTGATAATAGCAAGACTTACATATATCACAAGAATATGTGCACCCCTCACATGTATTGACTCATCGGATTATTCTATTAATGAGTAGAGTTAATGTCACTGAAAAACAGATCAGTCATTAAAGAAAATCATTTATGATACACATCAGATTAATGTGGCTGCCGTCTACCATGTATAAGTTGATGTGTCTTCAAAGCACCCTTCTGAACGAATGATTTTTTTACACATATCACAGATTTATGGCCGCTCCGCACTGTGGATTCGTAGATGTATCTTAAGATGGCACCTCTGACTGAATGACCTATTACACAAATCACAGGAATACGGCCTATCTCCACTGTGCATATGCTGATGATTCTTCAGACTACCCTGATGACTGAATGATTTGTTACATACATCACAGGAATATGGACGCTCCCCACTATGTATACGGTTATATCTCTTCAAATTACTTCTACGGCTGAATGACTTATTACACACATTACAGGAATATGGATGGTCCCCATTGTGAATGCGTTGATGTTTCTTCAGTGTAGTTCGATGAGTGAAAAATTTATGACACATTTCACAGGAATACGGACGCTCGCCATCTTGTAATAAGTTCTGTTCTTTCGCATCACATGTATTGACTCATCCGATTATTCTATTAATGAGTAGAGTTAATGTCACTGAAAAACAGAGCAGTCATTAAAGAAAATCATTTATGATACACATCAGATTAATGTGGCTGCCGTCTACCATGTATAAGTTGATGTGTCTTCAAAGCACCCTTCTGAACGAATGATTTTTTTACACATATCACAGATTTATGGCCGCTCCGCACTGTGGATTCGTAGATGTATCTTAAGATGGCACCTCTGACTGAATGACCTATTACACAAATCACAGGAATACGGCCTATCTCCACTGTGCATATGCTGATGATTCTTCAGACTACCCTGATGACTGAATGATTTGTTACATACATCACAGGAATATGGACGCTCCCCACTATGTATACGGTTATATCTCTTCAAATTACTTCTACGGCTGAATGACTTATTACACACATTACAGGAATATGGATGGTCCCCATTGTGAATGCGTTGATGTTTCTTCAGTGTAGTTCGATGAGTGAAAAATTTATGACACATTTCACAGGAATACGGACGCTCGCCATCTTGTAATAAGTTCTGTTCTTTCGCAGGAAACTAGCATACAAATTGAAAAAAAATATTATGACAAATCTTATTAGGAAGAAGAATGAGACTGAAAAGAAGATATAAGTAAGCTCAATAAATATTGCATTAAAAGAGTTTAGTTCTTTTCAGAACAGATTTATTTTCTCAGTGGGATAGCATTATATTTCCTATTTCATTTCGTTCCTGGCTACCTGAGACAAATAGGTTAATTCACTTGCCAAGACTGTATGTAATTTTATACACAGGAAACAAACTCTCAACTGACAGCATGCAGAAATTCATATTCAAACCACATATTCACATTCCATAACACAATGTCCAAGTTCAAGTTTACTTCACCCAACCAGATTTATTGTTAGAAAAACCTACTCACATTGCTTAGCCTAATTGGTGGAGAGAAAAAAGAGAGGTTAACCAATCTATTTGTTGATATCAAAAGCATCAAAAGGCATCGCCTTTCTAGTTCATCCCAGACGTGTTCAATAGGATTGAGATCGGGGCTCTAGACTGGCCAGTCCATTTCCGGAACCTTGTCCACAACCCACTCACGAACAGACCCTGCTTTATGGCAGGGAGCATTGTCATGCTGAAACACACAGTTATCATCTCCGAATTGGTCTTCTACCGTAGACAACACGCAGCTGGTCAAAATGCCCTTATATTCTTCCGCCTTTAACGTGCTCCGTAGTATTACGAGAGGACCAAGTCCCTTCCATGAAAAACACCCCCACACTGTCACCCTACTTCCGCCGAATTTCACTGTGGGCACTATACAGGCCGGCATGTAGCGTTCACCTGCATTCGCAACACCCAAACCCTCCCATCGGACTGCCACACGGTATAGCGTGATTCATCACACCAAATCACGCGTCTCCTGTCGTCCACAGCCCAGTGGCGGCACTCTTTACACCACTGAAAGCGGCTTGCTTACTGATGTGGCAACCAATAACCATACCACGTTCGAAGTCACTGAGCTCCCTTGCTCCACCCATTCTGTCGGTATCGCGTAGCACTGAACAACATCGAGCCCTCTGCCTCCTTTTCTAGCAGAAGCGGCGGTCGTAGTGATATCTAGGCTCGAGTTTACGTTTACAGAGGGGTGTCCGGATACTCTTGATCAGACAGTGTAGTTAACCATTAACTGGGTTCAATCTATAGTACAGAAAAGAGTAAAAGGAGAATCTAGAACAATTTATCCTCAAGTTCACTCACATCCAACTAAATTAATTATAATTTTAGTTGAATATGAGTGAACTTCCATCACATGCTTATTATCCTGTTGTAACCCATGCATATCTTTATCCCGAGAACAGAATTTCATAAACACTGAACAAGTCGGCTTGGGGAGAAGAAGAAGAAGAAAAGATGACAAGTGTGTCAAATGCAACCATTCTGACACACTCACAGCAATTTGGCCTTTGTGAATGATGCCAGTGACATCAGAGGTGTTTGGGGGAAGTGACCTTAACTTAAGTAGGGTGCCTTGCCTCTGTTTGGATGGCTGATGATGTCAATATGAAGAATGATAACTTACATTTGCTCAGTGAGGTTGTGTAGCTAGCTAGTGATTCTTTACCACTCCCACGAAGTCACTTTCACAAGCAAAAGCAAATGTAGGCATTAATGAAATGTACCAAATGTTGCCAATATGACACTGAACAAAACCGAAGTGTCTCCTCAAATAGAAGAAATCCCTAACATAAAACATCTTGAAAATCCAATTAGCTGTTTGTCCTCAAGATCTTACAAATGGACAGATGAATAGGTATAGCGAAGCTAACAGGTACATTTCAGTAGCCTTTACTTTCAAATCTGCTCAAAAATAAATCAGGGAAAAGGCCATATTATGCGGGTCCCCTGTCACTACATCACAGCATGTATTCTGGCTGTGGATTAAAGAGAAGACCTCGTGATGTGGGGGTAACTATTTCATTCTAAATACAATATTCTCCATCAAGGTTAATTCATAACATCCATGGAATTATTTGGGACCATCACTGAAGATTCTTATGTAATCTGTCAACACCGAGCACATATTCTGTATTTTTCAGGTACTGGGAAAAAATCAGGAGTACAATGGAAGACATATTAGCTATTTCCAGCCTTCAGGAAAGCCTATGATTCAGTTAGGAGGGAAGCATTATGCAAGTATAACGTACAGTTCATCATCTACTGCCCCAATAATAAATTACCTATCGGACCATAATATTCAGTAGCTTATGAATAATATAGTATAATGTAATAGTTCGTATTAATATAATATTGCAGTAGTAGGCAACTTCTCTCTTAAAAATACAATAATATTAAAAAAAGTGTAACTCATTTTTGTATATTCTAAATATTTATGAAGCTAGTTATCTAATAAAAATTATAATATGGGCAAATTAAAGAAAGATTGGATTAAGCAAGGATTAAAAATATCTTGCAAATGTAGGAGGATTCATATCTACAGCAGGAAGAGTTAATACCCAAAAACAACAGCATTCTATATGAAGTACTGTAATATCCTGAATGATGTTATAAAATAGGCTAAAAAGCAGTTTTACAGTAGACTAATAACAAAATCTGGCAATAAAATAAAAAAAAATGGCACATAATAAAAAGGGAGAGAGGAAAGATACATTTAACTGAACTATTTAACTGAACTGTTTAACTACTTCTTTGGCAGTATGTGAGGTTAAGTTATGTCATCATATGCACACTGGTCCCAGAAAAATCTGGCTTCAGGAAAGGTGTGTTGACTAAAGACGCAGCCTTCACACTAACAGACAACCAAAAAAATGGTGGTTAGAGTAAAAAAAAATGCAGGTTAGAGGAATTTACTGTGATTTAGCAAAAGCTTCTGACTGTGTAAATCATTACATTTTGAAGGCATTCGAGGAATAGCTGTAAAATGGCTCATATCCTATTTAAGAGAGAGAAAACAAAAGATTTGAATAAAATCACACAAAAAACTATCAATTTTTTAATATTGGGGTACACTTTTCACTCTTGAACAGAACCTCTTATTATCTTGTAAGGTACCATATAACTTTCTATAGTGACAAATCCTGCCTACCTGCTTGTGTATCTTTATCCAGAGAGGCAGATTTATGGGCAAAAAATGGATATATAAATAGCTCCACATTTATGGAGCAAGCATGGGAAACATCATGATACTAACACGCACATGTACCTTGTAATAATCAGAAGCACATGGCTGTACACCAACATCATGTGACAAATAACAAAGATCTGTACAACTTTAATAATTATTTCTGACATTGCAAATAAATAAATTATTACAATTTTGCAGCCAGATTGTGGGAGTGCATCACACAGGTAAATTGCAGCAAATATGCCCTATAAATGACAGCTGAATTAATATCTTGTATTTTTCTGGTTCTGAAGATTTTCGTCATGCAAGTGTTGGTCAAATGACTTTCACATTTCTTATAAGAACATGTAGATATGAATTTCATTCCTATCTACCATCATGTAAGCTGTGCTGTCCGATTGTGCCCTGGTATAATTCCTCCTTACCTATCTAAGCATTGATATCCCCCAATACCATCTTTATGTCATTAGAAAGGGTGTTATCATAGACCTTTTCTAGCTGTTGATAAAAGCTATCTTTAATCAGTTCCTCTTTATCCTCTATAGGAGCATAGGCATTGATAATGGACAGATTGAAAAATTTAGTTTTGAGGAACAGTACACTGACTGGGTCAAAGTTCATAATATTTATTTTCATTGCTTTATCTACTATAAATGCCACTCCAGCTTCATGTGAGCCACATGCCCTACCTATCTCATGACTTAATCACCCTGATAATACTGGGGGAGGAGTACAAATTTCTAATCTCATTATTATGCAACTTTCTCCATGCCCCATCGTCTTCTCTCCTAGGCCCAAATATCCTCCTCAAACACCTGCAATCTGTGTTCCTCCCTCAGAGTAAGAGACCATGTATGACATCCATACAAAACAATTACATATAAAAATCACCTGACAGTGATACGGTAACAAGTTTAATTAATAAAAGCTTATATCTGAAGTTTCAGGTGGCCCTGAGCAACGTATATTTGTTCATCATTCAGTATTAACCCTAATTAGGAATCATGTGAAGGAAAAACTTTCAGACAGTAATCCAAAGATTCAGCTTATCTTTTCCCTTTAGTAATGAATAACGCACACTTAAACCTAAGTGTGCTGTTTACTGGAGAAGACCTGATTCGATACAAACTTCCGCTAATCTAAAACGAATTACCAAAAGACAAGAATAATGACAATGCATTTTACATTTGATGGTGTCTAACAATCGATGTAGCAATTTCCCCCCTTAAATCAAGTGTGTCTTACATTGATGGAGTCTTAAAATCAAGGCAATATAATATTCCAGAAATTTAACAATGTCCGACATAGTCATATAACAAATCAAGTAATATTACATATTTAGAGGGTCATCAATTATCTTGTTAATGGTCCTTAATGGAAATGGCAGTTCTATGCCACTGCAGTGATACACACCCTAACAAAGTTAAAGAAAGAAAGAAACAAAGAAAGAAAAGGGAAAAAAGACAGCAGGTGAAAGGTACTACCTCTCCCCATTACCTTAACCCCCCCCTTTTTTTTTGTTTTAATACAGAAATATGTGTTGGTGGTTAGTTAAGGGTATGATTATTGGCTATACTTGAATTATCCTCCACACATGTAATTAAGCAGAGGTTTCTGTCTCTCCCATCACCATCTGACGATACTTATCAACCTCGTCAAATGACTCCGACACAGGCCCTGCCAGAACTTGCTCCACCCCCTCTCCAACCTCTGCTGTTCTCTTGGACAAGTAACTGTTTATCATGTTCAGCACTGCAGCCTGACTCTTGCAAGATCTAGCCCAGCCCTGATATGCCTTTAAGCTTTCATGGCCTCCACTACGGATCAGGAGCTCTTTTGCAGCATATGCCAAATTGCGGTAATGACGGGATGCTGCTGCCTTCATGTCCCGAACGTAACCAAAATACGGATTCCCGTCTACGAGGCGCATAGCTGTCCGGTAAGCCTCGAACTCTCCAGGAAACAAACGATGGAGACGTGACCATGGGAAGTCACGAAAAGTTAAGAGTGCTTGACCTATAGTGAGAAGCTGAGTCAATCCACTGAAGGCAGCTTGCTTTAAGATTAGCTTTAGAGCAAGGGCAGTATCTGGGAAGTCCTTAACCCAAGTTTCCAAAAGAGGACGGATGTTGGTATGTGTTATGTGCTTCCCATAATGTTGGTAATACAACCTCATCCTGGTAGAGGACAGTCTGGGAATATAGCCAAATTGTTCTTTATAGTTGGTGGAAAAACGCTCAATTTTTGCATCTGTCGCCTGACCTCGAGTGGATACACAAAAATAGAACTCAATCATACAGTCTCGGAGGTATGTCAGGATCACAGGTTTAACATGAACCCGTGTATAATAGAGAAAGGCCAATGCCGCATCAAAATCTACAACATTGATGGCAGAAGGAACTGCTGTGTCTGTTCCATTTAATGAGAAAATGGCCTCAGGTACATATAATCCTGTTTCCTCATTGGCCAATGTCATTGCACATTCAACGACACAAACATCTGCATTAGTGGACAGAAGACCATCTGGTATATATGGAGCCATAAGTTCCCCAATTAAACAGAGCTTAACATGATCTTCCCCTCGTCGCCCAAACCGATGACATTTGGCATATGACAACATTAAAGACATTAAATGAAGAGTCTTATTTTCTAGCTGTACCCCATCCAGTTGAGAGGCATGACAAAACATGGCCTGAGAAACCATCCCAATGGTGAGAGGGTTGTCTAACACAAGTTCCTGGATTCGTTCAGGGGTGTCCATATAACCCCGAGCAGAACGACGAGATAAGTCAATGGGCCCAAAAGTGAAGATGCCTGGTCCAAAACCTCCTGGACCTCCACCATGGTCTCCGGGTCCTCCACGCGGTCTGCCTGATGGTCCTGGTTGAGGATTGTGGGGCGGTTGTCCGTGTGGGTGAGTTTGGTCCACTTCCATGTCGGGTGACTGATGCTGGGATGGTTCAGGAACTGAAGTGGGTTGGGTTGCTGGTTGTTCCTCTGGTGGCTCAGGGGATGATGGTTGTTTTGATTTTTTCCCTTTTCCTGGTGTCTTTTTGGTTGCTGCTTGTCTTTTCTGGAAGGAATTAAGACACGCATATATCTGGGCTAATGGGTGGGATGTGGGTTGTCAGGGTAATGGGTTGTTTTAGCTAACCTTAGGAAGAGGTAAGTCCATACCACAATGTCAAACAGGTTTTAAAACAAGAATTATTGTTTTAAGGTTGTGAGTCCTTATTAGTATTATTATTATTAATATTATTATGATCAATTGTTTAATTGGTCCACAAGCAGCCAAAAACTTCAGGACGACGGACTCAATGTCCCCAGGAGCGTATGGCAAAACAGGTGTCTTATCTATGCCATAAAAGTGTCTCAGGTGGTAGTAGAGTATACGTAAAGCAGCATTATGTTGATAAATGTAGGCGCAGCTTGCGTAATGTTTACATGCCGACAAAAGATGCATCAACGTCTCTGGTTGCATTCGGCATGCCCTGCAGACAGTATCCGCTACCCCCACACCCATCACCATTCGGCGGTACACAAGTGTATTTACAACGCTAAGATGAAACCCTCGGTTTCAGACTTTAGTCCAGCCGACCGTAGAAAGGCGAACGTCAGGTCTTTTGACAAGCCCATTTTTTCTACATTTTTGAAGAAGGCCCCATGCATGGGTTTATCTGCATGTTGCTGTTTATCGTTTGGTTTATGTAATGAGACAGTAAAGGACATATTCAATGGTCACAACAAATTTAGTTGCGGGGGTTCATTCGATAGTCAAATGTACACACTATCAATGAAGTGCACACAATAAAGAAATTACATTTTGTATGTTTTGGACAGAAATACTGAGCAGAGTATCACATTAACATTCCTCCCTCCCTGCCAAATTTTATATTTGGGTCTACAGAAACAAAGTCAAAAACAAAGTAGAAAAAGGTTATGACACAATTTGTTTCTTAATTAAAAGTCTCCATGGCTGCAAATTTATCTCCTCATCAAAGTTTATTATTACATACTCAATTTTAGCTCCCATATGGAAAGAGTTATTGATGCTTAACAGCAATGACAACACTGTTCTAAAATATGGGTACAATTTGCATCAAGTTACAAAAGAAATAAAAGATAATCTTAAAACATTCATAGTTCCTGTGAATTGTATAGCAGACAGTATTTTGAATACAAAGCCCACAAATTATACAAGATTTTGGGATATATTTGTCTAAAATATTTCTCAGTTTGGTCAATGTTTAATTTCACATGTTTTAAAACTGATGCAACAGAAATTTAAAACGGTATTTCATAAACACTGAGCAACAAAATTCAGTCTTCTGGCACCATTTTCCAAAGGACTCTTCAAAATCCATTCACCTGAGTGGAATTGCTTCCTGTGGAGATGGACAAGAGACAAACAATAAGTAATCCTACATATTTCTTAACCACTTGATGCGGCTGACAGCCAGAGAGGATTTTATTGTAATGCAATATATTAAACATCACATAATTTTGTTCACTGAAGTACGTGTCGTATATTATTGTGACAGACAACACAAAATCCATTCCATAATAATAATTTTTGGTAGAGCCTAAAACTGGTTGAAGCCTGTAGCCATTTATCTTCTAAGCAGTTTGTTAGTTTCTTGTCAATTTTTCAAACATATGTAATAAAATATCACTGATTGTGTGAGGCAATAATAAAAAGCATTTATGATTTGCAATGCATATATCAGATACAAGCTTAAAAACCAATGGAAGTTGTTATCACTGTGGTTAGTCACTGCTTGTTGATTATAATTTAAGGATATCATTAGATAAAATGATTCATTGCAATCTCTTTATTTTTCCCCTCAGGTTTGCAAGAACTACATTTGCAGGGAATCACAGATGTCAGCCTTAAGTATGCCTTTAGTTTTCTTGAACTTCGACATTTAAATATGAGTTTCTGCCAGCAGGTTAGTTTCATCAGGAAATCTATTATGTATTGCTTCTAATTGGGTTTCTTAATATCTTACCTTTTCTTCTCAAACACCAAGTCCTTCACTTCTGATAAAGTTGTACAGAAGAACAAGGGTCTTGTTAAAAATAATAATTTACAAAACTTTCAATGCTATTTTTTCTTTGTACATTTTACATTCTGCTTTCAGGTAACATATGCAGGCATCTCAGATCTGGCCTCAAAGAACAAAGCATTGAAACCCTTTCAATAAACTATTGTCACAGAATCACGGACAGTGACATTATTGAACTTGTGAAGCATTTGTCAAGACTGAAACAACTTGGATTACAGGTATATGTCTCTTTATATCAAGCAAGTTAACTTGGCACATAACACATGCTGATAAAGTTAATAAACAAGAACCCAGCATTGTATTTCTGTGGTTCCTCATGATTACTTCAGATTATCAAATTATTTTAATAAAATATGTTTTATAGAGAAGTCCTTCAGATCTGAAACTAAACAAAGTATTTTCAACCATAATAAATAAAATAAATAAAACAATTTAAGAGTAGAATTTGTGATAGATCATAATGGGTTATCAAATTAAAGTTTCACAGTGATACATTACAAATCTCCCCATAAACGTATCTTCCAAATAAAAACCATATATATATATATATATATATGGAATTGTGTTTATCGTGGACAGTACACAAGCAACTGTCATATGATATGTTTACAATTTTCTTCAAACTTCTCTGGATAATTGATACATAGCAGTGTGATTATTATCTGTTGCAAGTGCTAAAACATTGTTCAGCTGTTGGCAAGACTGAAGATGTAGTCTTTCAAGATGTAGTTCTGGTACTTCTGCTAGTTGTTATTTATCGTGGACAGTACACAAGCAACTGTCATCCAGCAAATTTCAACTTTCTAATCTTCCGTGCTTGTGACACAATGTGTTGTAATATACCTTCAAACTTCTCTGGATAATTGATATGTAGCAGTGTGATTGTTATCTGTTGCAAGTGCTAAATAATGGGTACGATCTCCTCCGCAGGGATGCTCCAAGCTGACAGATACAAGCCTTACAGCAATTGGACAGAAATGTAGCAATCTGAAGTACCTGGATACAACCAACTGCTCTGGTATGTCTCTAGAAGGGTCAGAACATTTGAAATTATGCCTGCAGTCTCTGCACGGACTACACAGGCAGAACCTGCTTTGAAGAAATTTAATAAATCTAGTGTAAAAGAACGAATCTAGTACCTCAACCTCCACCAGTGAAGTTCTGTTCTTTATTTTGAAACTAGTAACCACATTTATTTAGTGAAAATAAAGGTGAGCACTTTAACTAAATATCTACAA